CCTGGTCTACAAGAGCTAGTTCCAGGACAGGCTCCAAAACCACAGAGAAACCCTGTCTTGAAAAACCAAAAAAAAAAAAAACAAGCCAGGGTGTGGCAAGCACTTGGGAGGCAGAGTGTGAGACCAGCCTAGTCTACAGAGTGAGTTCCAGGACAACCAGAGCTTCGTGGAGAAACCCTGTTTCAAAAACACAAACCAAATTGGAAAAACAAAAACAAAGATAAAACAAACAAAAGACCTTCAAGGTCAGGGGTGGCTTATCAGGTTTGAGGTCTGGGATAAGCAAAACCCTTTAAATTTAAAGAAAAGAAAGACATTCCTTGTTCATAATTTACAAAATAGTATTATCTAACTTTTCCCAACACAGTGTTTAGAAGAGTGAGCACCATTTAGGGTATAGGACAAGTTCTGGAAAGAGAGGACAAGGCACAATAATATGCACTAAAAACTGAGGTTTCTGGTATTGGTTTTTAGAGACAGGGTTTCTCTGAGTAGCTTAGGAGCCTGTCCAGGAACTCGCTTTTTTTTTTTTTTGTTTTTTGTTTTTTGTTTTTTGAGACAAGGTTTCTCTGTAGCAGCTTTGGTGCCTGTCCCGGAACTCGCTCTTGTAGACCAGGCTGACCTTGAACTCACAGACGTCCACTCGCTTCTCCTACCCGAGTACTGGGATTAGTTAAAGGCAAGTGCGTGGGACCACCACCCGGCCAAGATGATTCTAGAGAACTAGGCTTGCAATTTTTCCAAATTTAATACTTTTAGCATTGGTGTGTAGAGAGCAGATGGTGGGAGCTGTGCTGGCTAATTTAAACAAACAAACAAACAGACAAACTCAATTTAGAAAAATTATGTCTTAAGAATCTAAGGACTAGCTGGGGTGATGATAATGTAAACAAATGATTGCCAAGCCTAAAGGGAGGTTTCTGTTTACTAGAAGAACAGCCCCCCCCCCAGGGTTTCTCTGTGCAGCCCTAGCTGACCAGGATGGCCTTGAACTCTGAGATCCCCCTGCCTCTGCCTCCCAAGTGCTGGGATTAAAGGCGTGCGCCAACACCTGGCTTCCAAAAACAGATTTTTTTTTTTTTTTTTTTTTTTTGGTTTTTTGAGACAGGGTTTCTCTGTAGCTTTGGAGCCTGTCCTGGAACTCCCTTGGTAGACCAGGCTGGCCTTGAACTCACAGAGATCCACCTGTCTCTGCCTCCCAAGTGCTGGGATTACAGGCGTGCGTCACCACCGCCCGGCTAAAAACAGATATTTTAAGGGGCTTCTATTGTTAAGTAAAAATAATAACAAAAGGGCAGCTCCACCGGTGCAAGAAATCCAATTAGGTCAAATCAAACCAAATCAAAATGCCCATCTTTTTATTAAGATGCTCTCGGAGGGGTCAGGACCTGGCTGGCATGCTCGGATTTGGAGCAAAGCAACTCCCAGGCCAGGGAGGCTGGGATGAATGCCAGGGGCTGGGGGCTGTGCTCCCAACTTAACACCTGTTTGCTAGGAACCACCCTTAATCCTCCAGGGAAGTGTTAACCTTAACCTTCCCCCAAAGGTCAGCTACCTCTGTAAGCAGCTCAGATCCCCACCCTGCTAAATGACTTGCATAAACCACCTTGCCTTATCAGCCTTTTGTTTTTCCCTCTGCCCCGTTTGATCCCCAATAAATCTTTCTTTCTGCCCACAGAGTGGTCTCCCTGCAGCATGGCTTATGTAGTTATGGTGTGTGCTGTCCTGTGTAAGTGGATATCATCTATATTAAAATGCTCTATTACATTCTAACTAACATATTTGTGTGTGTGTGTGTGTGTGTGTGTGTGCGCGCGCGCGCGCGTGCACGTGCAGGCCACAGCGCACACGTGGAGGTCAGAGGGCAACTTTCGGAGTCAGTTCTCTCCTTCTACCTTGCGGATTCTGGGGTCGAAACTAGGACTGTCGGGCTCAACTGTGAGCGCCTTTACTAATCAAGTAAGTTCTAAGTTTTACGTCTCTTATTTTAATCGTTTTTACACTTTTTGTTTGTTTGTATTCAAGATGGAGTTTCTCTGTGTAGTCATGGCTGTCTTGGAACTTGCTCTGTAGACAAGAACCAGGCTGGCCTCAAACTGCCTGCCTCTGCCTCTCAAGTGCTGAGATTAAGGGATTAAAGGCGTGCCCCACTACACTAGACTTTCTTTTTATTTTTAATTACATATATGTATGGGTGCGTGGTTTCCTTATGTGAAAATAATGCCTGTGGAGGCCAGAAGAGGGCGTTGGATTCCTCTGAAGCTGTCTGATGTGGGTGCTACAGAGCTCAGGTCCTCTGCAAGAGCAGCAAGGGCTCATAACACAAACATCTAATTCTAGTCCCGGGGGATTCAATTCCCTCTTCTGGTCCGCAAAGGCACCAGGCATACACGTGGTACACGAACATACATGCAGCCTAAATAAATACCCATACACATAAAACAAAGGTGAATAAATATTAAAATAAACAAACAGAAAACTAGAAGGACAACCGAGGACTGCTTGTGGGCTGGCCCCCAGGGGCCCGTCCTGTTCCCCCAGGGGCCTGTCCTGTTCCTTCTGTCCCTTCCTCTGGAGAGGTGCAGTGACAGCCCAGGTCTTGAACTGACTCCTCTGCCTCCACTTATGAGTGCTGGGATCATGGATGCACAGCACCGCATCCAGTTTTGTCTTTGCAATAGGCTCCTCGTAGCCCAGGCCAACCTCATCCTGAGTGCCGGGGTCACAGGTGTGTGTCATCACACCGGGCCTAATAACTTACTCTTACAGGCAATAACAAAATAAAACAAAGCAATAACAGTCTCAACAAAATCATACCTCATACCTCAAGGGAGGCTGAGGTGGGAAGACTGGAAGAGTTTCAGACTAGCCTGGGCTATCCAGTAAGTTCCAGGTCAGGCAGGACTGGCATCTCGTGTTATAGAACAAAAACAAGCTGGGTGTGGTAGGGCGGGGCAGGAGTCAGGTTCAAAGGTAGCCTTGCCTAATGAGTTTGAGGCTCGTACTGCCAGTAAGACCCTGTCTCAGAAAACAAAGCAAAACAAACAACCAAACAACAACAAAAAAAACAGTCAACATCTGTAGAGGGCCGAATTTGAACTGCGTAGAAACTCTGTACAGGAATGACTTGAGGTAGCATTCTCTGTGTAGTCCTGGCTTGATCTGGAACTAGCTCTTGTAGACTAGGCTGGCCTCGAACTCACAGAGATCTGCCTGCTTCTGCCTCCCGAGTGCTAGGATTAAAGGCGTGCCCCACCACTGCTTGGCCAGAAATGGTTTTTAAAGTGATTCACTGCAAACCCTACAAGGCTCTAGTGGAAGCCAAGCTTCTTAACATTTTCTCTCAGGCTGCATGATCTTTAAGAAATTCTGTTTCGGGCTGGAGAGATGGCTCAGTGGTTAAGAGCACTGCCTGCTCTTCCAAAGGTCCTGAGTTCAATTCCCGGCAACCACATGGTGGCTCACAACCATCTGTAATAAGGTCTGGTGCCCTCTTCTGGCCTGCAGACATACAGACAGAATATTGTGTACATAATGAATAAATAAATAAATATTTAAAAAAGGAAAAAAAATTCTGTTTCGCAAATGGGGCGATGAGAGAACCAGCAACTGACATGGCGCTGTGCCAACTCCCAGCCTCTGTGCAGGCTGTTTGCATCCCAGAGAAGAGCCAGCCAGTCAAGAGGGTCTCCTGGCCAGTCACCGGCCTCAGGAGCAGCAGCCTAGGTGAGCACTTCTGCAGAAGAGGGCTCACAAGAGCAACAGCAGCCCTGGTCTGAGAAGAGCTAGAGGAAAAGGTGGCTGATATTGAAGAGAGGAGTTGAAGCGCTCTCTGGAAGGTGAGACTCGCCTTGGGCAGTGTCCTTTAAGAATGTCTGGCCAGCTGGGTGTGGTTGTGTACCTCTGGAATCCACCTACTTTGGATCCCAAAGCAGGAAGATCACAGTTCATAGTCATACTGGACAACTTGGCAAAACCTTGTCTCAAAATAAAACTAAATGAAAAAAAAAAGAAAGAAAAGAAAAACGGCTGTGGCTTGACTGTAGAGCATTGGTTTAGCATCGGGAAGATCCTGAGTTCTATCCCTTGTATGATTAAAAAAATATCACCAACAGCCAGTGTATGCCTGCTGTGTCTGTAGTGGTGTCAAAGCACCAAACACAAGCTGGGCATCCAGCCCGCATTCAGGACGCACTTGCTGAATAAATGAACACAGGGCCCCAAGTAAGAAAAGTATTTTTTTGTTTTGTTTTTGGCTCCCAGAAGGCCCCGGGGCTTGTGGGTGAGCACTTCTATGCCCTTCCTTCCTGCTAGTGACTTGCTGGGTAAAGGCAGCAGGAGACCCTCTTGGCATTTATTTTATCAAATTGACTTGATCTGTAGCAGCCAGTGACATCTGTTTGGAATTGCAAGAAAAACTGACAGCAACTCTCACGCAGCAGCATCCTGTCTCTCCTGGCTTAAGCACCTAGGACACACACACACACACACATCCCTCTGCAAAGCACTTCTCCGCTGTTCCATCTCTCGCCAGCGGCTTTGGTGGGAGTCCTTCCTTCGGACTATCGGACGTTCTGATCATCCGTCCTAAACTTGATGCCACTGTTGCACTGAAGGCGCCTTGACCTGGCTGACCAGCTCACAGCCCACGCATCCTTCCAGAGACTCAAGAGTGTGGCAGTTCGCCGCGTCTTTCTAGGACGAGGCTTGTCTCCCTGCAGTCTCTTCCAGTTTCACTTCCCTTTTGGGAGCTGTTCCCCTAGCAGCTTTGGAAGTAGCCCCGGTTCATTAGAACTACGTCAGTTTTGAGAAAAGCAACATTAGGGAGGAGACGGAAGGTGCAGACATTGGTAGGAGGTGCTGACTCTGAGGTACAGGTAGGGAACAGCCCAGGCACACTTCACCTGCAGAGGAGGGGGAGAGGACAGGCTGATGGCAGAGCGGGATGTGATGTATCCTGGCTTTCCCAAATAGTCCCCTCCCAACAGTTCCCTGCTCACCTCTGCAAAGGGCCGTTCCCAAGCGTCTCTGTCTCCAAGCCACAGGTCTAGCCTATAGAACGCTTTTCTGTTTTTCTGTGGCTGCTGCGTAGCTCAGTAGGCTAACCTTATTGTCACCCCGCTCTGCTTGGGTGGGTCGGGAGGCTGGCCCTGGTGATCGCATTACAGGGCTGCCGACTGGCTCTGGCCAGGCACGTGATGAGAAAAAGTTTAGGTCTGCGTGGGCTGGAAACAGATGTCTTTCTTTTGGAAGGACACGTCCTTAATGAGAGAGGACAGCGCAAGGAAACAGGGCACGGGTCCAGACTCTGCTCCCCATTGCACTTTTTTTTTTTTTTTTTTGCCTTCTCCAATTTTAGAACATGTTAACACACGGAAGACAGGCTGAGGCAAAGGTGTGGGTAGTAGACGATGGCACACAGTTATCCAAAGGTTCTTCAGATCAGAGGTCTGACCGATTCGCTTTAGTCCCTTCTCCCTCCCTTCTTCCTCCCTCTTTTAAAAATATGTAGAAATACATAGTGTATGTACTTAATTTTTTGTTTGTTTCTGTCCTGGAACTCGCTTTGTGGCCTCTGCCTCCTAAGTGCTGGGATTAAAGGTGGGTGTGGTAGCTCCCACCTTTAGTTTCTTTTTTATTTTTTTTTATTTTTTTATTTTTTTAATTTTATTTTTTTTAAAATATTTATTTATTTATTTATTTATTATGCATACAATATTCTGTCTCTGTGTATGTCTGCTGGCCAGAAGAGGGCACCAGACCTCATTACAGATGGTTGTGAGCCACCATGTGGTTGCCGGGAATTGAACTCAGGACCTCTGGAAGAGCAGGCAATGCTCTTAACCACTGAGCCATCTCTCCAGCCCCTTTAGTTTCTTTTTTAAACTTACCTGCTGTATATCTGTGTGTCTACTTGTCTGTATGTACAGCACTTGACTGCAGGTACCTCCAGAGGCCACAAGAGGGCGTCTTATCCCACAGAACTGGATTTACAGGTTGTTGTGAGCTGCTCCATGTGGATGCTGGGAACTGAATTCTGGTCTTCTACAAGAGCAGGAAGTACTTGTAACCTCTGAGGGATTTCTTCAGCCTTAAGTAGCCCAGGCTGGCCTCAGACTTACAAAGAAGTCAAAGCCAGTCTTGAATTCCTGATCCTCTTACTTCAGCTGGGTGAGGATGTTGGAATCAAGGGCATGCACTATAATCTGGCTACAAATTACTTAAAAAGAGACAACTATTAGGACACACTCACCTGCCACTTTATGACAGGGGCCATTCTTTTTTCTTTCTTTTTTTGGTTGACAGAGTTTCTCTGTGTAACCCCTGTTGCAGACCAGGCTGGCCTTGAATTCATGGATACCCGTCCATCTCTGCTGGGATTAAAGGCATGTGCCAGGCTATTTTATTTTACTATTATTATTATTTTTCAAGACAGGGTTTTTCTCTGAAGCTTTGGAGCCTGTCCTGAAACTAGCTCTTGTAGACCAGGTTGGCCTCTAACTCACAGAGATCCGCCCATCTCTGCCTTCCGAGTGTTGGGATTAAAGGCGTGTGCCACCACTGCCCAGCAAGCTATTTTATTTTTATTTATTTATTTATTTTGGTTTTTTCGAGACAGGGTTTCTCTGTGGTTTTGGAGCCTGTCCTGAAACTAGCTCTTGTAGACCAGGCTGGTCTTGAACTCACAGAGATCCGCCCATCTCTGCCTTCCGAGTGTTGGGATTAAAGGCGTGTGCCACCACCACCCAGCATGCTATTTTATTTTTAAAACTGTGTGTTTGGGGGCTGGAGAGATGGCTCAGTGGTTAAGAGCACTAGCTGCTCTTCCAGAGGTCCTGAGTTCAATTCCCAGCAACCACATGGTGGCTCACAACCATCTGTAATGAGGTCTGGTTCCCTCTTCTGGCCTGCAGGCATACACGTAGACAGAATATTGTACACATAATACATGGCATGGGCATACATGGAAGCAGAATGTTGTATACATAATAAATAAAATCTTAAAAAAAAAACCTGTGTGTTTGTGTCACATGACTGTGATGCCCTGGAACCCAGAAGGGGTATCAGCTTCCTTGGTGTTAGAGTTACAGATAGTCACCACTCCATGTGGGTGCTAGGAACCACCTCTAGACGAGCAAGCATCTTAATCACTGAGTCATTTCTCCAGTCCATTCCAGTTTTCTGAGGGACAGGTCCTCATGTAGCCAGGCTGGGCTTTGACTCAGAGTTCCTGATTCTCCTGACCGCCAATAGTGGTGAGATTATAGGCATATACCAGAGTTGGTTTCTGTGGAGTTGAGGTGGAACACGGCCTCACGCTTGCTAGGGCTGGACTCTGCAAACTCCTTCAGAAGCAGAGCACACTCCTCTGTCCTTCGTTATATTTTAATACTGCTTTAAAAAATATCTTTTACTATGTGTATATGTGTGCATCTGTTTGTGGGAAGGTACACACATGGTACAGGGGCCTGCAGAGAGCTGGAGTAGCTGCCTGATTGGGGTGTCTGGAACTGAACTTTGCAAAAGCAGTAAAAGCTGAGCCATCTCTTCAGTCCTGTTTTATTTATTTATTTATTTATTTATTTATTTATTTATTATGTATTCAATATTCTGCCTGTGTGTATGCTGCAGGCCAGAAGAGGGCACCAAACCCCATTACAGATGGTTGTGAGCCACCATGTGGTTGCTGGGAATTGAACTCAGGACCTTTGGAAGAGCAGGCAATGCTCTTAACCTCTGAGCTATCTCTCCAGCCCCTTATTTATTTTTTTGAGACGGGGTCTCAGGTAACCCAGACTGGCCTGGAACTCCACCTGTAGAGGATGACCTTGACCCTGGTCCTCAGGCCTTTCCCTTCCCCAGCCGCGTGTGCTGGGATGCACCTGTAAGCCCAGCGTGGAGACAGGAGGATCAGGAGTTCACATCTGAAGCTAGCCTGTGCTGTGCGAGACCATCTCACAACTTTGTCCCTCAATCTCAGACAGCTCCTTCTGCTGAGTGGGAACGCCAGGACTTCCCGGTGCACTGGAATGCAGTCTCCCAGGTCTGCCTCTTCCAGTGCTGGGATTACACCTTGATTTCTCACACTTGAACGTGGAGAGTTTTCCTAATAGGCCCCTGAAGAGTCGCGGTGCTTGCTCGCAAGCCCAGCATTCAGGAGAGGGAGGAAGACGGAGCACTGGAGGGCAGCCAGGGTCACCCAATGGGGCTGTGTCTTTAGACAACAGGAGATCGTGTCTTAGTCATATTTTTCTTGGACCAGTTTGTCGCATTACAGTCAGGGCTCAGTAAAACACTTGCTTAAAAATTAACTTCACGGTTGGGTACAACTTGTTCAGGGTTTCCCTCATCTCTGAGAGACACCGACATACTTTCCTCCATTCTTTGGCTATTTACATAATGAGCCTATTGTGTGCACTGATCAGATATGGTTCCTGGATGGCCAGGGTCCTGGCACTGACAGTGTAGCTCAGTGGGTAGGGTACCTGCCTACCATGACAGAGGCCCTGAATTCCAGCACCACCTAAACTTACTCGGGTTCTTTCCTGTAACTCTTGCTCCAGGGGATTCAATACCTCTCACTTCTACAAGAGCATGCATTCACAGGGACATACACACAAATACACATAATTTAAAAAGTCTTTTAAATATTTATTTATTATGTATACAATATTCTGTCTGTGTGTACATCTGCAGGCCAGAAGAGGGCACCAGATCTCATTACAGATGGTTGTGAGCCACCATGTGGTTGCTGAGAATTGAACTCAGGACCTTTGGAAGAGCAGGCAATGCTCTTAACCACTGAGCCATTTCTCCAGCCCCAAAAATCCAATTTTTTTTTTTTTAAGATTTGGCTACAATATGGGTGACTGCGTTTGGTGTGTGCACGGGGAGGGCAAGGGGACATCCGAGTGGCAAGAGTCCAGCAGGTAGGGTTCCCTCTTGCTAGCCTCTTTCCTTTGGCCCGTGTTTCCATCTGTCCAGCTCTATGTACGCCAGGACCAACTTTCTTCTTTGTGCCATATTCACTTCTCAGTGTGACTAGATATCTTCACAGTGCCCTTAATTCTCAGTCTGCAAAACCCATCTATCTTATGGGAAAAACTAGCTACCTATTTAGACCAAGTTTAGTAGAATTAAAATTATTTATGTCTTTATATCAATAGAGATCCAAGTCACATCTAAAAAACAAACCAAGCCGGGTGTGCTGGGACGCACCTGTAAGCCCAGCGTGGAGACAGGAGGATCAGGAGTTCACATCTGAAGCTAGCCTGTGCTGTGCGAGACCATCTCACAACTTTGTCCCTCAAGCTCCTTCTGCTGAGTGGGAACGCCAGGACTTCCCGGTGCACTGGAATGCAGTCTCCCAGGTCTGCCTCTTCTTGCCCTGAACCTCTACGGTCTCCCGGTTCACCTCTCTGCATCTCTCTGGCCTTTCATTACCTCGGCACAAAAGAGCATCTTTAGCCTCTGCTTGAAATGTACTTGCCCAACTTCTCATTTCTCTGTTTAAATTTCACTTCCTCAGGGAGGCCTTCTTCCCTGCCTGCCTGTGAGACTCCCTGCGTATGTCCCCCCCTCCCGCCCCACTCCAGTGTATCCAGTGGGCTCTTTCATGATAACTATCACAGTTTCTCAGAATCATATATATATATATATTTTTGGGGGAGGGTGAGGGTGGAGAGACAAAGTCTGATAAAGCTCAGGCTGGCCTAGAAATCAATATGTAGCCAAAGGTGGCCTTGATCCTCTTGCCTCAACCTTCTGGGTGCTAGGGTACAGGTGCACCACCACAGTAGCTGACATTCCCCTCCCCCCCCCCACACTTTTTGAGACAGGGTCCACTCTCTATGCAGCTCTGGCTGGCCCAGGACTTGCTGTGTTCACCAGGCTGGCTGCAAACTCACAGAGATCCTCCTGCCTCTGCCTCCCACGTGTTGACATTACAGGCGTGTGCCGTACATTGCCAGTTCTTGAATGCTTGTTTACTTGTTCATCGGTCTCTGTTTCATTCACCAGTGTCAACATGGATCCACAATCCCAGCAAAGGCTTTAGGAGCAAAGCCTCCATGAGGGATGAGCCCTTCATCCTGGCTGAAGAGTCAGACGCCTCCACGAGGG